GATTGATTCTGTTATGCATATACTCTCAAGAAGGTAACCAGTAAACAAGGAATTGACAAAGTAGATTTTCTTCTTTTCTTTTACATCAGAAAATAGTCAACAAAGCAGTAGTCAGTAGTCCCCGAGTTTGTGGGGAAAAGAATCCTTTCCTTAGATAGGAGACAGTTGCAGCAGAGTAGCTGCCCCTTGAGAAGTCATGGCTGCATCATCTGGACTTCTTTCTTGTGTCTTGGTCCCATTGCCTGTATGCAGGTGTTTTAGCCCAGCAGTGTTTGACAAATTGCATTTTTCTGGCACAGTTTTACACCTGTGACAAAACTCAAAATTATTTTTTATTGACAAAGTGCCTAAGAATGTCTTGTTAGTTTGATTCCTACATAACCCTGACTTACAGAAAAGCTGGTCATTCCTGAATGCCCATCTGTATAATAAAAAGTAGACAACATTTTCACATAATGAGTGACACAGCCATATACTATTCATAGACAACAAATTATTTCTTCTAAATACTCCGTTTTAGAACTGAAGAGATTTGGTTAGAAAGACCTGTGTCTCAGTAAGAACGACTGCTCAGTTTCTATACTATAATGCTCAAAACTCCACACTACATAAATTTTGCAAGTGTAAATTTATTCATTATGATATGCTATTAATCAGATTATAAAATAATAAATGCTGCATAAAGAATGTAAATTAGCAGTGCATTTTATAAAAGAATCCCTGTAAATATGAAAGACTAGAAATTGGATTAACAGTGCTATTGAAAAAAATGTAAGATGGTTGCAATTTTATTTCAAGTAAAAAAAGACATTGTGTGTTATTCTTTGTCATAGTGGATGTTTAAGGTGATTTTTCTACTTTCCATTTAAGAGGATTTTCTAAATTAATCAGTCTTGAATGCAGATAAATTTTATTCTTTTACAATACATAATAAGAAAGGTGTGTTATTGTCATAGTGTCTTCTATTTGTATCAAAATTTGTTTAGCAAAACCTAAAGTAATTATGTTTTTGTAGCAAAAGCATCTATAGTCAAAGTATTTCACTAAAAACTTAGCCTCATGTTGTACATGGGAAAACTGAGGCCGATATAAACTTTAAGTGATTTTCTAAAATCTTTGGAGCCTGGGAAATTAAAAACTGAAACATAATCTCTAAAAGTAGGTACAGTCTTTCTGCTATTCAATGTTATCTATTTGTATGCTGCTTTGTAATTAAGAAATGCTTAAAGGCCCTATTTACTTGTATCTGTATTCCCTTTGATAATCTGTCAAATAATCATTCATTACCCAAATCTCTTGGTGATTCTGTGTGTGTGTGTGCATCTAGTCTAGTTTAATTGATTGACAACTTCACTTAATTCCTCTTTCTTATGTTAGAGGACCTCTGAAAAGAATGACACAATAGGATGCTCTCACCCTTTCAAACAGAGTTGGTTGACCCCTCTGTGTGAAACTATACAATATACCAGCTGGAAGATTTTTTTTTTCTTTTTAGGCAAAACAAAAAAAAAAATGCATTCTAATTCAACTTGTTCTCCAGAGTAGACTTCCTAAGAACAGAATGACTTGGTGGGATAATTCCCCATGCATTGAAAGAAGTGCTCCACAACTTGTCAGAGTTTGAACAGTCAACATTTATTTAGTGGCCTTCAGTGGAAGAGTGCTCTTACTGATTGTAATCTTTTTGCCAAAATAAAAGCAAATAAGTGATCTCACTTTTAGGAGGTATTTAAACAAACAGAAAAAACAACTACAGAGCTGCTAGAATTTCCTTTTTTTTTGTTCTTAATTTATATCTGTCATTGAAATGTTTGTGGATTGTGCAGAAAGGAATCAGAATATGGTAGTGATGTGGAATTTCATCATTGCATCAGTTGGGTGGTTGGAGAGAAGTACAGGTGTATCAAATGTCAAATGGGACCTTGAAGAAATTCTTCCATTATTAAGACATACAGGAGACATATTCATATTTTTGCTAAAGATTTAGTTAAGATGGAATGGTTCTACAAGATTTTTAGCATTATAGAATGTTCTATTGGCTAGATGGCATTTTTGATACTAACAGGTTTGGGTCTCTGTGTCCTAGAACACTGGAGAATTTAAGTGGAAAACAAGAAAAAATGTAACAGTGCAGCTCAAAGTACCATTTTTTGTGTATTCCTAAAAAAATCAAGTGATAAAAAATCATGTAATTGGTTCTTCACTTGTATTCCTAAGCTGAGGAGTAAAAACCTTAGGCAGCCCTCCATCCTCACCTAAATTCTTAACCAAGAGTGGTCTCCTAAAATTTTAATACAATGGTGGAGCTTCAAACTCTGAAAATGAGCTTGGAGGGAGAAGTTGTTTCTGGATGGCTTATCCTTTTATTGTGTATTGAATTATTTTGAAATGGGATCATAGCTTGTAGAATGAAATCTTTGAGAACCCACCATTTAGCTGAATTCTGGATAAGAATACCAAGAGAAATCATGCGTATAATTTACAGATTCATACATATATGAAAGAAAGATTACCACGTGGGTTTCAGTGGCAATGAACAGAACTGTTAATTTTCTTCTTAAGTTGATGAACTTTTTTTCTCAGTGACTTTTCTTCTTTACTAAGTGTTAAAATAGAATCACAGCTAATTGTTTCTCTTTGGAAACCTAGCCAACATCTAAATGGTAACAAACAGTAATTTTTTTCAAGCTCTTTTAAGTGAAATTTCTTTTATGGTTTAAGAGTTTTAATTCTTTTATGCATATCATTTTGATTTATGGTTATTGACAGGCAATGACACTGTATAAGGCTGTGTTAACATAGGTGTAAATTAAAAACCCACAGTCTTATTTTGAGTCCTTGGCAAATGGGTTTGGTGATTAAGACATTTGTTCCTTTTTCCACACTTTTACTTCTCAAATCCAACCTACATTTAAAGTGGGAATGAATTTCATCCCCAAAACTCCACTGTTTAAGAAAAAAAAAAATCAGGCCTAAACATTAAACCACCATTTTCAATAACTCAGTTATTAATCTGATCTCTTTTTCCAGGACGCTGAAAGTAAGATCTTAATTTCTGCTACTCCTGGATTTGCTAGGAACTGTAAGGGATTGCCAGTGCCCCAAGACCTCGGAAATCCAGGCTCTAATGGACCTGGGATTTGGGCACTGGGCACATACTGAGGCCACGGCCGGTGGTCTTGTCACATCAGGGCCAGTGGTACTCCTAGCTATTTCAGGGCCCCAGAAGCCGTCCAGAATCCACTGTGCCTAGACCAAAGTTTGTAAACTGATGTACTGTGGATGCTCATTGTGGCTTTCAGAGTGGTGTTCTCTTGTTGTTTCCATTTAAATTCATTCTAAGCCTGGAAAAAAATCATAAAATGACATGAAAATGACTTTCTTACCAACGAAGATATAGAGATGGTAACTAAGTATATAAAAATGATTACGTTGTACGTTATGTAGGAAGTGCAAATTAAAGCAGGAAAGCACTACGCATCCATTGGAACGGCTCAAATATGGAACACTGACGATACTAAAACTCTGTGAGAATATGGAGCAACAGGAATTCTCGTTCGCTGCTGTTGGAAGGCAGTCTGGCACTTCTCACACAATCAGGCAGGCTCTTAGCATATGATCCAGCCACTGTGCTCCTTGGAATTTCCCCCAAGGAGTTGAAAAATTACATCCACACAAAAATTTGCGTATACCTGTTTGTAGAAGGCTTACTAATTGCCAAAACATGGGATCAGTCAAAATATTCTTCAGTAGATGAACGAATAAATTACGCACACAGAAAATGAAATATTACTTAGTGCTGAGTTATTAAGAAGGAACCTTAACTAAGTGAAAGAAACCAGTCTGAAAAGAACACATACTGTATGATTCCAACTATTTTGAAAAATGAACAAAAATCTTTGGAGTGAAAGTAGGTGTGGTTTCCAGGGTTGGAGGATGGAGGTAAGCAGCTAGCACAAAAGAGTTTGGGGCAGTGAATATTTTGTATATAGTAGAGTGATGGGTATGGACTGTTCCAAACCCACAGAACATACAACATGAAGAGTGGAGCCCAATGTGAGGTATGGACTTTGGGTGATAATGATGCATCAGTGTAGGTTCATTAATTGTAACAAACCACTCTGGTGAGTGATGTGGATAGTGGGAGAGACCATGCATGTACAGAAGTATGGTATACATAATGAAATGCTATACCTTCCTCTCTATTCTACTGGGGAAAACCACTCTTCAAAAAGTCCTTTAAATGACATTCTGCATTTTAAAAAAATCAATAAACGATTCAGCAACCTAGAGTCCTTGTTCTGGTATTACCCATTAATCAGTACAAATTAGTGCCAGTTCACTCCTGTCTTAGTTTTTAGACCCACCACTCCCTCTTATTTTCCCAACTAGCTCATTTCAGTAATTTTATTACCTGCTCAGCCTGTGTAAATTGTAGCACTGACTTGATGTCATTTTAAGACAAAGAGTTCTTCCCATTGTCATCGGTGAGGGTTTTTCCATAGGATTTTGCAGTTCCAGAGTGAGGAAGCTTCCACTCAGCTAAGGAAAATTCTCCAGAGAAGGAGACAGCCAGTGAGCCATTAGAGGTCAACAGGTGCAGAAATGTGGCCTTGGGGTACCTGCTTGATAAAAGGACTTTGGGGGAGCACCAACAGTGGCTATATAATATATAACAGTTGTCATTTAGCAAAAAAACATGAAGTTTTTTTCAAGAAAATGTCATCTAATTTTTAAAGTGTCACGTTAAGTGTTTATTATTTAAATTTAGTTTAGTCACCTTTGACATAAGCACTGTATTGTATATTCAGTTCTTAGTCATCTTTGGAATAAACTTTATATTGTGTTTTCAGTTCTCGGAACCACACAGATGCTTCTGACCACAACTGATCTGATTTTAAGTGCGATGTACACAAGTCCATGTGTACTTATATGTGAATATCTGTGTCTAGAGGTAGAAACTAGATTCTTGAATGTAACAATTGCTTTCTCATTTTTAGCACCTGCCCAACTGAGGCCTCCTGTGGTGAAAGAAATCAACAGCACCACCATCCACAGTAGCTGGCTCCCACCTGAAGAAGTAAATGGGCCCTCTCCTCAGAACCAGCTGGAAAGGAGAGAGTTGTCCTTCCCTGCTCTAATGGCTGCCAGGATGAAAGGAATTCACTTCATGGGAAATGAGTATTGTGAATTTTCCAGCACAGCTCACCCAGTTGGCAGAGGCTTTGCTGGTAAGTGTGTTTGACACTGCTTTTTAAAAAATGTGCAAAGCCCCAAGATGTTTTCTATTATTTTGACATCTTTTTACAGTGATGCTTTACTATATGCTTATTTGTAAAAATACCAATTCAGCCCTCTCATAACTATAGCCTGATTGTGTCAATTTGTTCATCCTTTTAGTATTATTTGGGTGTGAGGGGGAAATGGAGGCTAGAGGAGGAAAAGAAAGAGAATGGAGAGGCTGCCTCAATGGATCAAGGTATGTACTCAAGAAGGCCCTCAGACATTATTTACTAGGGTAGGTTTCTTAGAATATTGTTCACTAATATTGTTCCTGTGGGTGGATGAATTTGAGAAATGTCCCATATTATCCAAGCTTCTCAAAGTGCATCAAAGCATTAGTGACTAACAAGAATTATAAGAAACCCCAGGTACTGGTGGCTCATACCTATAATCTTAGCTACTTGGGAGGCTGAGATTGGGAGGATCCTGGTTTGAGGCCAGCTCGTGCAAAGAGTTCACAAGACCCCATCTCTAAAATAACCAGACCAAAATGGACTGGAGGTGTGGCTCAAGTGGTACAGTACCTGCTTTCCCAGTGTGAAGCCCTGAATTTAAACCTCAATTCACAAAAAAAGGAATTACAAGAAAGACATGTCACTTTATTTGGTTAAACATTCTAATAAATATTTGAAGCATTTTCCCTTCTTTTTTTAATGAAACAATTGTTAAAATCCCAATGTTTTATGGAGAGCATTATAGGAAAAACTAATTTCAGGGAAAACAAACTTCCCCTGTCGCCTCAGGCATGAAATTTAAAGGCGCTGAAAAAAAATAAGTGTTAATATAAATGATATTTTATGCCAACTTTTTAAGAAAATGAAAGTGAATACAAAAAATCCTAAATCTTAAATCATAAAAAAATTGTATATGAAGGCAGGATTGGGCCCTCCACCTGCATGGCCCTGTCTCTTGCTTCCCCCTACTCTTGGCCTTACTAGTACTACAAGTCTGGAAGGCCCTTCATCTCTATAAATTACTCTTCCTGATAGCCTGATTCTAGTATATTCTAGAAAAGTGTGGTGACTCATACCACACAGTTCACATTTTTAATTTTTTTAAAGAAGTATTGGGGTTGGGCATTGTGGTGCATATCTATGATTTCAGCGCCATAGGAGGTGGAGATGGGGAGGATTGCAGTCAGAGGCCACCATGAGCAAAATGTTAATAAGACCCCATCTCAATATACAAGGCACAAGGGAGGCAGAGGGAGGATGATCAAAATCTGAGACTGGTCTCAGGCAAGAAGTTCAAACCCTACCTGAAAAATAACTGAAAAACTAAGGGTTAAGGGCATGACTCAAGGGGTAGTGTCTGCCTAGCAAGCATGAGTCCCTGAGTTCAACAACCAGTTCCCAAGTATGATACACACACACACACACACACACATAATCCTGTAAACCCAAAAAGATAAATCCTTCTGGTGCAAATAGCTAGTCTTCAATATGTGACATATGTAAGAACAATGCAATGGAATTTGAGCTCTAAAATGAAGTTCAAATATCATTATTTTCTTTTTAACTAAAACAGAACATAGTTTGCATTTTGGTGGGGTTAACGGCTGTCATCTGTTTGTATTGAATCACAATTTTGATTTAGTTGATATATATTGAAATGCATGCATGCTTAACAATTTTCCAATATATCAAAACTATTACTGAGTATTAAGTGTTGAACAATTGAGTTCTTCTGAAATACTACTCAACTTCTACTTAGTATTCTTACAATGGCAAAAATTTAAAAAAAGTTGGTATATGAAAAGGAATGCACTGTTCATAGTCAGCTCTTTCTCTCAAGCGAAGATAAAACCACCTCTCTGGTTGCACATTGGGTGTCAGGTGCATCACTTCCAGGAAACATTCGTTTCCATTCAGCTGGGGCTGGTTGCTGCAAGGATGTCAGCCTGCATTATCAGGCGAGCCAGCAGACAGATTTGTGATGGGATTGCCCACTGTTGCTGCATTGAAAGATAGAGTGGCCTGTCCACCGCTAATAAATTTAGTCATCTTCACTGTTTCCCTTGCTGGCCTTATATTCCGAGGTACAAGGGCTAGGGGCAGATGCAGTGTCTGGGAAGGTTTCCAAATTCCTCTTTAAAAAAGTTAGGCCATAAACACCAGCCTCACTAAGCAGAATCCTTCTGTCTGTAACAAAGCATCGAGATGCACAGACCCTGTGCTTAGAGCACACCCCCTTTGAAGGACAATGCAGGGAGATCTCTGTTTTGGCTAAAACTATTCCCTGGAGCTTTGATGATTCCTGAGAATAAGGTCTCCTGTGTGCAGGCTCATTCTGGGACACTGCTGCTTCCCTTTTTATTGGTAGCTTCGCCTTACTTTTAAGGTTCCTTTTAACTTTTAAAATAACCAGGTCAGCATCAAGCAATTGGTTGGATCCTTTGTCTTAATTGCCAGATTTCGTTAAATAATTTCATTGAGTTGGGTCATGACTTAGCTGTATTGACCCAATTAGAGAGGTTTTCAACTTGCTAGCTTTTTTAAAACTTGCCTTTTTCCTAGACAGAGAGGCAAGGTGTAGCTAGCATCTGATGCAAGTGTCACTTACGTAGTCTTTCCTTCCATTCCTCTGCCACCTATAAAATAAGCATATTCACTCCCATAGTGCATGAGGAAATGAGGCTGTCGTGAGTGACTGTCCCAAGGCACCACTTTGAATTTTAGCGTTGACTTATGAATTGAACTCTTCTAATTCAAAGGCCATGGCCTGCCCCATAGGAGAAAGAAGGTTTTAAAGACTGCTCTTTGTATGTTGTGTTTTTAGTCAAGTACTCTGTCAGTTGAGCCACACTTCTATTCCTGTTTTCATTAGTTTGCTTTTCACTCTTTCCCGAAGCCAGCCTCAGACCATTACCCTCAGACCTCTGCCTACGGCATATTTGAGATTGTAGGCACACACCACCATGCCTGGCCTTAAAAGACTATTCTTTGGTAGTTATGCAATGAGGAATACATAAAGTAACATATTAACACGTATGGATAGGAAATGAAATAATTATCACCCAAATATTCCTTACCCAACACTGCCAAGATTTTGGAACTTACTGTTCAGTTAGTTTATAGGTAACAAACCATAGTATTGGTTATTTATTCATTTATATTCCCAATGACATTTGAGGATAAATTTTTCTTCTATAATGATTAATCCCAGAGTGTTACTGGAAGCTAGATTGCTATGTATGGAACAGCGATTTCAACTCATATTTCTTCATATTTTATGCAGTTTTTATATTCTGAGACTAACCTGATGAGCAAATCCTAGAAATCTCTAATGTGATGAATTATATGCTGAAAGTTAATAGTTCTAAGCAAACTAAAATGCTCTTTTTTTGAACTATTCATTTCAAACCTCAAATGTTAATTGAATTGATTTCTGAACTATGAATAGAAATATCAGTTAGCACTCAAAGACAAGCACGTGGTAATGTGTATGATTGCACATTTTTATATATGAAACATTAGGTGAGATTTCACCCATCAATGACTGGATTTGTAAATGTATTTGTAATGTATTCCAAGCTGGTGAGCGATATAAAATGTCATTATTTCAGTACAAAACAGGAGTCTCTTAAATAAGTCATTCCTCTTTCATATTTTCACCTTACATGATACAATGAGAACAGTTCAAGCTCATACATGTATGTTCTACATGCTGATTGATATTGTAAATTATTAAGATTAGTATGTAAATGATCTCTAAAATTCTACTTTAGAGCAAAACACTCAACTAGATAAAGCTTTTTTGGACTGTTTGTGTTTTTCTTCTGCTACAAGTGTTCCTTCAAAACTGTAATCTCCAGGAAGAATGTAGCACAGTATCAATCATTTACATCATAGTATAAATTTAAAAGCATGCCTTAACTCCCTCATTTCTCTATGATTAAAAGTAAAGAATTTGGAAGCAGATCAATGGATAAATTAGTTTTAAATATAGGCTACATTGTTTATTAGCTAAATGTAGTTAGACAAACCACTTAATCTGTTCTGTGTCTCTGTTTACTTTCCATTAATATTGGCATAATACCACATTATTAATATCTAGCAGGTAGGTGACGATTCAAAGAAATAGCCCATCTAATGAACTTTACACTGAGCCTGCCACACAGGTTACTTCGCATTAAACATTAGTTACTAACAATTATTCATTTGAACAAATAATTTTTAGCTCCTACTATGAGACAGTTTTTCTAAGTATGAATCCTCTGCAATTTATGAAATCAACATTCTATTTATTCATTTGCTCTTATTCTTGCAAGATATGTTTGGTAAAGTGTTATACCTAGGGTAAATAATATGAAATGTTCTGTATTGAAATGTGACAGTTAATGTTGTTATTGAAAATAGTTAAATTATCCACCGGGTTTATATATTGAACAGACTACTTTTTTAAAGGTCTACTGTTGCTTAGCTATAAATTTGAGGGTTGTATTTGGTGGTCAAAACTTTGAAACTCTAAAAATCCCAATTGTGTGAATATAGAATATTTAAGTAGCCACCAATATTTAAGATTGGGGTTCTTACCAAAGCATCAGTTACACTAAAAACTTAATGTATGTTTAAACAAAGTATGTGGCTATAATTCTTTCTTATAATATTTATAATTAAAGGTTAATATTAATTTACTCTTTCCTCTACTAATCTGGAAAACATAATGAGATAGACTGAACACATCAACATAAAATGAATGTTCAGTTCTTGGGTTGTATCAATAGGTATAAGGAAACAGCTAATTCAACATTGTTGCATGATCTTATAATTAGACAATCCCATAAACACCATGGTGAAATCGTCCCCTGATTACATGAGGTTTGCAGAACTTTCTCCTTCCAAAGCAGAAAAAGCCAGTGGCCATCCCCTTCCTTGTGCCTCTGGAAGGGGAATCATCACTGCTCTGGAGCAGGGTGGCAATCATGCTCTTTTTTTTCAGGAATGCT